ATGAACTGAAATGTTTTTTAAACATCGCCTCTGGCCCATACAACCCTAGGCACGACTCTGACCGAAACCCATATATTTCCCTATCCAAACTGAAACCATTCTGAACCGGATTCGAAATAGGAAAAGTAGGTAGCAAACTTTTTAGGATGAACATAACCAGTGCTACTAAACCACCAAACAGTTAGTCCTCTCTATTGTTGATTTGTTGTACTAGCTTTTTTATAATAAAGATATTCATGGCTCTTTTACGTTTAAACATTTGATATTACTTTTAAGTCTTTCTATTCTTTGCAATCTGCATAGATATATATTGAGCACATAATCAAGGATGTCTTAAATAAATAACATAATCCATTAAAAAGTATATCAAATACAACGAAATTTGTATGAAACATACAAATAAAACAAAATACAAGTATAAACGTACACAAACAAAAAACTATAACTATGAGACCAAACCATAAAGATGTTCACTAAGGAAACGATGATGAGATAGACAGACAGAAGTGCATCTCTGCAAATAGACAAACACCACTATAAGGGTAATATGGTAATTTAAGATCATAAGATGGGCTTCAAAGTAACTGGGCCTTCTTCTGGTTCAATGGGCTTAGGCAGTTCCAGGAACCTTTGGGAGTTCCGGCATCTTGGGAAGTTCAGGCAACTTCGGTAGCTCTGGTTTCGCAACCTCGGGAATCTTAGGTAACTCAGGTTTTGGAAGCTCCGGCATTTTAGGCAACTCCGGCTTTGGAATCTCCGGCACCTTAGGCAACTCTGGCTTTGGAATCTCCGGCACCTTAGGAGCCTCAGGTTTTGCAACCTCTGGAATCTTGGGCAACTCAGGCTTAGGAACCTCCGGAATCTTAGGCAACTCCGGCTTTGGAATCTCCGGGAACTTAGGAGCCTCAGGCTTTGCAACCTCTGGAATCTTTGGCAACTCCGGCTTAGGAACCTCCGGAACCTTTGGCAGCTCCGGCTTCTGAATCTCCGGTATCTTTGGCAACTCAGGTTTAGGAACCTCCGGCATTTTTGGTAGCTCTGGCTTCTGAATCTCCGGCATCTTTGGCAACTCCGGCTTAGGAACCTCCGGTATCTTTGGTAGCTCCGGCTTCTGAATCTCCGGCATCTTTGGCAGCTCCGGCACCTTAGGAGCCTCAGGCTTTGGAATTTCGGGCAACTTAGGAGCATCAAGCGTCGGAGTCTCCATTAACTTAGTCCCCTCATGTTTCGGAATCTCTGGAAACTTCGGCGATTCGGGTTTCGGAATCTCCGGGAACTTAGGCAACTCAGGCTTTGGAATCTCTGGAAACTTGGGCAGTTCAGGCTTCGGAATCTCCGGCACTTTGGCTTCCTCGGGCTTCGGAATCTCCGGAATCTTAGGCAACTCCGGGTGAGGTAGTTCCGGCAACTTGGGAACTTCGAGTTTAGGTAGCTCCGGGTGAGGTAGTTCCGGCAACTTGGGAACTTCGAATTTCGGTAGCTCCGGGTGAGGTAGTTCCGGCAACTTGGGGACCTCAAATTTCGGTAGCTCCGGGTGAGGTAGCTCCGGCAATTTCGGTATCTCCGGTTTAGGAATCTCCTCCAAGAACCGGCGAGCTCCGACTGAAACCGGATCAGAGAGCAATGCAATAAGACAGATGATCAGAAACGGTGATGAGAAAAGAGCAGCAGAGAGACCCTGCTTCATTAGTGCCATGTCTTCTTGCTTGAGAACTCTTGCCTTCTTCTATTATGCTTCTTTTGCTTTTGATGATGTTCTTGTTGCTGGATTGTGATGAGATTTTGGTCTTTGATTCCAGTGGCTATTTAAATGTGTTTTTGAGGAAGAAGAAAGATGGAGTTTGGTGAGAAAATGTGTAGAGAGTTTTTGAAAATCAAAATGTTCGTTTAACTTCTCTACCTGTTTATCTCTATACTGTCATTTTCAATCTAGTTGGATTTTAGGTGTTTACGTGTTCATGTTTTTGTTATAACGTATACAATCTTACTATGAAACACACAAGGCTTTAAACTTTGCAAACAGTTACCAAATTCTGAAAATAATATGAGATATACAAGTCACACAATCATCAATTACAAATATAAAAGTTTATAACACAAAATTATTGGGAATTCAAGATTAATAACTCTAGTTATTTGGAGATTGATTTTGAAATGAATCAAAACTAGTTTCAAAATGTTAATTTTGTTGTTGGTGGTGCAAATAAATTGTGTAATTTACTAATTTGCAAGTATGAAAACGCCATTAAAAAAAGCAAACAATGTTTAGGTCTTGGCCGGTAATCTACACAACGACTTGTATTTTTTTTCCGTTGTGTGTATGACTGTAGTGTTCCTTGTCATGAAAGTCATATATTAATTTATTGCGTGATATTTGATCTTCAAAAACAAGAAAAAGTTACAGATTTGGGTAAAACTCCAGTCGGTAACAAGCATTCTTGTGCAGCCGAAACAAGCCTGAGCAGATGCCCTTCTCAATCAAATCATGCATAGTTTCTTAAGTTCTAGTAAGCAGATGAAACCGATTATTGATTATGATACAGAACATTATACACCGAATGCGCATTTTACGCCAAAACACATCAACAGATTCCACTTGCATTGATTCTCAACAAAGGAATCAAAACTACAACATTTTCTACTATGGTACAAACATCAACTAGCAATACATAATACCTAAATCCCTAAGGCAACCACACACAAAAACCTTCCTTTCACTAAGTAGCCTTGACCTTATCATCTGCAACATCAGATAGTATTGACAAACTTTTCAAGAACTCATCAAGTTCCTCAAAAAACCCAAATCCCTTCCTTATTACCCTCCTTTCTTACTTCTCTTTGCATCATCATCAGAAATTGCAACATACAAGTCATCACCATCATCAGAAATTTCAACATACAATCCATCACCATCATTGCCGCAATAGTTACTTGTAGGAGCATTCATATGTACTTGCTGATCAGAACTTTGTGCAGGGCAAACAAAGAGAGGTGAAATTGGAGACCAAGCAGAGCTTTTAGCTTCACCTGAATACCCTAATGGGAACATACCCCATGAACAAAAGTAAACATCTTTACCATCACTATCCACAGGTGGCGTTTGCGTCTTAACCGCTTCAAACGCTCTCTTACAATGCTCACACCTCAATATACATTCCTCGTAACCTTTAGGGTACTCAAAAAGCACATAGCAGTACGGACAAGCAGTCCAAAAGCTAAGATTCTCCGAGGTCTCAGCTTGGCTCTGCAATGGCGAATCATGTCGCCACTGAAATTGCTCCGATTGGGTACTACCACCGATTTGGCTCATCTGCAACTCTTGGTCGTACATTGATTTCCTAGGAGGATCAGAGAGGACACACCAAGCATCAGAGACGAGCTTAAGCGCTTGATCGGCGAAAGGGAGACGATTAACCGTTGGATTGAGGAGAAGAGCGAGTCTACGGTACTGAATCGCCACGTGTTCAGGGTTTCGTGTTAGCCGTACGAGTCGGAGTATCGAGTACCAGTCAGGTAGTTTCGAGTCACCGACGGTGGATTCTCCGGCGAGGTGAGTGTCGGAGATTGCGAGGATATAGTCCGCTGCATCTGCTCGAGACGGATCGGCTTCGCATGCACGGATCGCAAATTTCTTTGCTCCCTCAAAGTCACTTGAAGCCAACAGCTTCTCCGATGTGATTAGCCACTGACCCGCCTCCGCAATTCTACTTCCACCGTCGTCGCCGTCGCCGACCATATCTCCGTTTCTCCTTTTGCTCCAAATTTTGTTTGCTTTTGGGTAAAATATACAGACTACAGAGCTTTTTGCCTGTGTGGGACCCAAAAGACATTGCATCGTTTGAAACGGTTCAGTGTGAAATTATTGTGGTATTCTTATACAGTGGTTAAACCGGTGTACATTAACAGGTCTCCCTAAACCGGTCTGCCTACACTTTACCATATGACGGTTATAGATTGATTCTCTTTTTTTTTTTTCACTGATTGTTTATTGATTTCGAAATGGAATAC